CTACCTTCCTTCCTTCCTTCCTTCCTTCCTTCCTTCCTTCCTTCCTTCCTTCCTTTGCTTAAGGGGTTCTGAAATCCAGAAACGAAACTTTGTCGAACTCCGTTCAAAGCAGAGAGTCGGGGAGGAGGAGAAGGGAGCACACAACTCGCTCACCAGTCTTACTGGAGCTCTTACACCCGATAGATGCAGATGTTGCTTTGGGGGTCATTGGGGTAAATGTTAGAGCTGGCGAATTAAAAAGAAAAGAAGACAAACAAAGAAAAATACAACCTGCCGTAGGATTTTTAAAAGACCGCTTTTCTCTAAGTTGACATTTACGAGCGGCGCCCATAAGGGCAGTTGTCCTCTGCGGCTTGACCCCACTTATGACCATCCCTCTCTCCCATAAACCCAAACTCTTGAGAAATTCTTTGCTCTTAACGTAGCCGCGGCTGCCTCTTCTGCTGAGAGGATCTAAGCCAATTAACGGCGTCTGAGACCAAGCCTCTTAAAAGCACACCGCTCTGTGCCTACTTAGATCGGAAACCGTTAGATGGGAAAAGGACTAGCTTGAGTTCCTGGTGGACATGTAGAACCTCCTATCCTTGGGGGCCAAGATGTTTGGCATCGAGATTGCCGTGAGCACCTCCCAGCACGGCCAGTGCACAGTGAGGAGGGGCTTTGTGATTTAAACCTTGGAGGATGTCAGCGTGCTTTTAAATCTGGAGTAAATCTGTGTATACTTGGGATTTCTGGACTATAAATTCCGCAGTTCTCCGCTCTGGGAGGTCCGCCGGACAGACAAGCCCCTGGAAGTGGTTCACCTTGGAGGAAGGCCTCAACTTGCAGGCTTGGAAGCCTAGCTAGGCCTAGCTCTGTCCAAACTTCCTGTTCCTGTCTCAGTGCTAGATTTCTTGGTGGGAGCTTGCTTTCTGAAACAGGAAGCAAAGTGGAACTAGGCCTAGCTAGGCCTCAGATCTTGCCAGTTTAGGCTTTTCTTCCGGGTGAGCCACTGTTTGTCAAGCAGAACTCCCAGCAAGGAGAATTATGGGATCCGTAGTCCAGAAACATCCAAAAATCCCAAATTCTGGCTCTCTCATGCCTCTCTCCTTCTGGCGTGGCTCCAAGAAGGAATGGGGATCTAATGTCAAGACTGTTTTCTCTTCTATCCAATTTGGGGCCAATCGGCTTCATTGAAATGAGGAATGTGAGACGACGCGAGGGCCTCTCCTCGGCCGTCCACTCTGATCTTGCCGTCTTGAATTGGACCTCTTGCGTTTCTCTTTCAGCCTCGCTTCTTCTTCATTCTGGTGGTCTTGTGCGCCGGCCCCATCCTTTACGTCTTGCTTTGCCCACACCTCTGTGTCTCGCTGTGCTGGCAGAGCAGCTGCCGGCACGCAGAAGAACCAGCAAGGCGGTGGCCGGCGGCCTCGGACTCAGGGATGGCTCGCTTCGACGGTTACATCAGCGTTCCGGATGGAAAGGTGAGGCTGCCGTCCAGGTGAGACACAGACACAAAAGCAGGGAGGTGGTCCAGCTCCTGTTGTGGTCCTGCAGAGTGTGCTGGATTTAGGTGTGCTTTGAGTGCGCTTTCTTTTAACGCTGAGTTCCACCTCTCCAAAGAAAAATGAACGCCATTGTAGAAGCATCCCAAATTTTGCAAATAAGTTCTGCATCGGGGAATTGGAAACCTCAGCCTTCTAGGGGCTGGATCCTGCCCTCCTTAGAGGGTCGTACACGTTTCCCATGCCATTGTCATCTCTCTCTCTCTCTCTCTCTCTTTCTCTCTTTCTCTCTCTCACACACACACACACACACACACACACACACACACACACACACACACACACAGACAGACAGACAGACAGACAGACAGACAGACAGACAGACAGACAGACAGACAGACGTACGTACGTTCTGGAGGGCTGAACGGCTTCCCCGAAGGCTTAGTGGTCAACAGTAAAAACACTTTAAGCTGGAATAGGTTGATGCTTTGGCTCTGTTACCATCCAATTTTAGATTTCCATTCTCCGGCAGGAAAAACAGATAAAAGACAGTGCATATTCAGTCTATGTAAGCCAATTTATTAAACATAGAAGTTGACCCTGTCCTAAAGGCAGATTGGAGGTCCTCATCATACATTGGTAAAGCATTTTATAAGCTTCTTACAAAGGACAACGAAGCACAGCATCCCCTCATTGGCCTCCTGAACCCCATGTGTGCCCGCTGGGCCATCCCACTGGCCGTGGTAGACGTGAGAAAAAATATCCAAGTTGCATCCCAGGGTTAGTGGCTGCCAAGTTTGTGAATGTGTGAACCATTGTATATTTTAAAACATGTTACAGCCGCCTGAAGCGCTGTGAATGTTATCTGTCTGATAATGTAGGAATGTTTATGTGAGTGCCAAGCAGGATGGGTCAGGAGCACCAAGAGAGAAATAAGGATACAAAATACATTGGCTATAGAGAATACATATAAATACAGATACAAAAATGCATATAGAATATCATTATAGTAAGGAAATAGTGAAATCATATTTCAATTACAGGTACAAGGTATGATTACTTGTGTAAGTACATGTGAATCAAATAGCATGTGTTATCTTAAATTGTAAAGCCAGTACTTTATATATGTTATATCAGAACCCCCTATCTATCAGCTCCTGCTGTTTTCCTTTGGAACCACCCGCCACAAGGAATCTAAACTCTCAAAAAAAAAGTTGTGTGAAATTAAGTCAGCCCCCCCCCCACTCCTAAACTGGTTGAGCACCCTTGTGCGTCTGCTGCTCCTTGTGATGCTAACTTTCTGCCTGCAGGGCGGCAGTTGTTTTTTTATAGTGAAGCAAAAGGGAAATATTTCAGAATCATTTTTTTTAAAAAAATTATTGTTTATTTATTTAAAAGTTTCCTTTAAAAAGTTGGTGCTTGGCTGCTGGTCGAGGTTGGAAAGCCAGTTCCGAGCGAGGGCGAGGAAGGTTAACCTGGAGTTTGAATGGGCTGGCCGTCTTTTCCCTCTGCACTCGCACCTTCTTCTCGCTCTCTCTAGCCTTTGGCCCGAGCGTTGTGCCGCCAGTGTGCCGTGGTGTCCAGCTCGGGGCAGATGTTGGGCTCCCGTTCGGGGAAAGAGATCGACGCCCAGGAGTGCGTCCTGCGCATGAACCAGGCCCCCACCCGGGGCTACGAGGCGGACGTGGGCAGCCGGAGCACTGTCCGGGTGGTCTCCCACACCAGCATCCCCTTGCTCTTGAGGAACCAGTCCTATTTCTTCAAGCAGTCCCGGGACACCCTCTACGTCATCTGGGGCCCTGCCCGGCTGATGAACCGGGAGAAGGTGGGCTTGGTTTACAGAACCCTCCTGAAGGTGAAGGAGATGTACCCCAGCCTGCATCTCTACACACTGACCGACAGGATGATGGCCCACTCGGACGAGCTCTTCCAGCTGGAAACCGGGAAGGACAGGTGAGGCCCTCTCCCTTGGGGCAGGAACTTTTGCTCAGCGGCGGAAGGTCCCGAGTTCAAATCCAGCCGTCGCTGAGTGGGCCTGCTTGCTTGTGCTTCTGGAGAAGCATTGATGAGCAGCGTAAATGAGAGAGGTGTGAAACGGTGGCCCCTCAAAAGTGACTGGCTTGCAAGTTCCCATCATCCCCATTGGCCTAGCTGATGGAGGGATGATGGGAGTTGCAGTCTGGCCACTCCTGGAGGGCTTTAGCTACCATAGGCAACGGTGAACAAATAGAGTTGCATGCCGTGTTTCTGTTTAGTTCATGCCTTTATTCGGATTCATGAGGACTAGAGTCTTAACACTGCTTGTAAATGAAGAAGAGAGACTGGGAGGCAAAGCAGTTGCTTTGCTTCCTAAAGCCCCCAGGTCTGATAATTGCAGATCAGCGTTGGACTAGATGAGACTCAATAGAAGGCAGCTTTCCGAGGTTCCTGACTTCTCCCTCCCGCCGGCAGGATGAAGTCTGGCTCCTTCCTCAGCACTGGCTGGTTCACGATGGTCCTGGCCATGGAGCTGTGCGAGCGGATCGTTGTTTACGGCATGGTCAGCGAAAGCTACTGCAGGTAAGGCTCTCGGGCAGCGGACATGCCGAAAGCTTTCTAGGGCCGGAAGCGAAATGCTGGATGTGGCGAGAACCTGCTGTTCCCATCGGCCCCAGCCCCGTGGGGCTCCTGCTCAAGGATGATGGGAGGTGCCGTTGAGCAGTGTGTGGAAGGCCGGCAGAGATGGGCCAGAGGTAGCCAGGAGAGGGGAGTGTCCTGAGCCATGGGTGGGCATGTACAGTGGTGCCTGGCTTTACGATTGCCCCGCATTACGACGAAACCACATTACGACGATCTTTTTGCGATCGCAAAACAATGGTCTAAATGTGTGGTTTTTGTGTTTTTGTTTTTTTGCGATGATTGGTTTCCTGCTTCGGGAACCGATTCTTCGCAAAACAACAATTTTAAAACAGCTGATTGTTGGTTTCAAAATGGCCACTGGGTAAACAAAATGGCTCCCCGCTGTTTTCTGGGACGGATTCCCCGCAAGACAGACAGTGAAAATGTCTGCCCTATGGAGGATCTTCACTGGACGGTGAGATTTGACCCCATTGGGACACATTGAAGGGGTTTCAATGCATTTCAATGGGTTTTGTTTTTTTTCGCTTTATGAAGTTTTCTCTTAACGGCAATTTTCCTGGAACGGATTATCGCCGTTAAGCAAGGCACCACTGTATAGAGCAGGTGGTGGGAGGTCTGCCCCAAAAAGTGATACAGGGACGTCTTAGCCAGACTCTCGCCCTCTTAAAGATATCTTGAGTCATTCAATCAGACACATTAAGTGATTTTTTCTGGATATATGGCTGGAAGAGACCATCTAACCAGTTCATTCAATGGGAGTAAGGATCCTTAAGCCTCTGGGTCTAACCTGACTCATTTGTAGTTGGAATCCTGATCTCTGGACTTCCCCTTGGACCCTCGAATCTGGCCTTGGGCTGAAAGATGCTCCCTGTTCTTGAGACGGTTGGTTGGAAACCCCTTCTTAGCCCGCAAAAGGGTCATCCAGAAGACCACTAAGCATATTACAAGCCCAAACAGTTGTCTGAGGTTTGTTGAGTCACTTCCAATTTATAGCGGCCCTATTAAGGAGTGACCTCCCATATGTCCTGTCTTCAACAGCCCTGCGCAACTCTTGCAAACTCAAGGTTGTGGGTTCCTGAATGGAGCCGGTCCATCTCATACAACAGCCCTGCGCAACTCTTGCAAACTCAAAGTTGTGGCTTCCTGAATGGAGCCGGTCCATCTCATACTCTCTTTTCCTGCTGCCGTCAACTTTTCCTAGCATGATTGTCTTTTCCAGTGGGTTGCTCATACTCTCTTTTCCTGCTGCCGTCAACTTTTCCTAGCATGATTGTCTTTTCCAGCGGGTTGCGCCTTCTCATGATGTGCCCAAAGGAGGACAGCTTGAGTTTCATGGTTTTCGTTTCCAGACTTAACTTGCCCTCTCCTTTTTTTTATCCAAACCCTTTCTGGACGACAGGAACCAGAGCCAGCCCCCCGTGCCTTACCACTACTTCGAGAAGGGCAAGATGGACGAATGCAAGATGTACCTGGCCCATGAGCGAGCCCCCCGGGGCGGGCACCGCTTCATCACAGAGAAGGCGGTTTTTTCACGCTGGGCCAAGAAAAAGGACATCGTCTTCACCCACCCTTCATGGCTGGATGGCCAGAGGTGACCTCCGACCCCTGGGGCTCTTTTGCCACTCGATACGTTCCACGATTCACCCAATTCCTTCCTGTTGCCTAGACCTGGGAGGTCCACGTCGCAGTGGGCGAATTGTCACCAGAAAAGGATATTTTTGGGAACGGGGGTTCCCAGTCCTCGTTGGGTGCGCTCCATTTGAACAGTCTTCGGACGCTCACGACTGGCTCTGCTTTATTTATTCCTGGCAACGGAGAGGATTGGGGCCGTTCTGAGAGGAGGGGCAGATGATCAAGGAAGCAAACGAAGCCTTTTTTTTAAGGCTGACTATTTTCATCACACACACCCGGGGACAGTCTACTCATTTCTGCCTCCAAATTATTCACCGTGAAAAAAGGTCCTTCTTAAAGCGATCGTGTTTAAACCTCACGACCCTCGTACGAGGAGGTGGGTTTTAACGATGGCCCTGGAGCCGAAGAGAGGTCTTCTGAGTGGTTGGTCTTAAATGATCTGCCGGTGATGCGGTGGGCCGATTTTCAAGTGGGAGGAGAAAGCGGAGCCCTGCAAAGCATTGAGCCTTTGCAACAGAATCTGGGTTCAAACTGGATCAAATAGGATGCGTTTGTGGCTTTGACATAGGCTTCATAACCTGTGTTGCCACTTTGTGAACCTATCTGTGTTTTCCTTCTGGTTCCCACTGTGGATCTAGCATCTAAAATATAGAGATGTGTGTGTGTGGTTTTGTGCAAGCCTTGACTTTTGTACTGTGATGATTTCCAAAGAAGTACTGTACTTCGCAGTCCGGATATAAAGCTGCGTATTTCTGTTCTCCATCATCCCCTTGTTATTAATATAAGGTGCAGGTTTTTTCAAAAAATATTTTTTTACAAAATTCCTGCCAAGAGTCGCCGAGGTTTTGTTTTTTAATTTCCTGTGCCCTTTGTGGTATCTTGGCATCTTCTATCTTTGGTGTTGAGATGTCCCCCCCCAAAAAAAAGTTTTAAATAATATTCCCCCCGCCCCAAAAAAACACAGTGTCTTGTTGGGTTGGGTGGGGAACACATTCTCCTCAAAGAGGCTTCCTGGGCGCGAGATACAGTGCAGGAGGATGGGGACCCTTTGGCTGTCCAGCGCCTAGCAGCCCCGTCCAGAATGGCCAAGGGTCAGAGATAATGGGATTTGTAGTCCAAAACATGTCAGGCAACATAGCCCTTGTTTGGGAATTCTAGGTTTTTGACTTGATTTTGTGGGGGTACCGTATCCTCATCTGTTCAGGGTATAGTTTTTTTTTTATTTTTACTCCAAGGGGGTCAAAATAAGCAGTCCGAGAAGGCACGGCTCATTTACAGGGGCTTGTGGGTTCAAAAGCAATAAGGCTGATAGGGGAGAGTGAGGTATAGGGGTGAGAACCTTGTTCTGGGTCTTAACAGAGACCCAGGTCGTGCGCTCAGTGAAACTGGCCAGGTGGCCTGGGGTTAATGGGATTTGGAGTCCGACAGCATCCTGAGGGGCCCCTGGTTGCCTCCACCCCTGATTTATGTGCTGGGCGTCTCTTGGAATAGTGGACAGAGGGAAGGGAAGGTTCTCCAGGAAAAGCCAATAAAGCCGACAGCGTGTGTTTTGCATTGAAAGCGCCCCGGCTCCCTCCTGACTCAGCTCCTTCTTGCCAGGCTTCTGCGCCACCCGAGGCCAACGTCAAGAGAGCCCCGACAAGGACCTCTTTGTCTGGGGACTTTCAGGAGAGGAAAAACAAAGCGTCTCTTGGAAGTTCTTAAGTTTGGGGGTGTGTGTGTTACTGGGAACTTCATTGTGTCGCTCAATTGACCTCGAGGACGAGGCAAGAGAAAAACAGCTGCTTTATGTATGTCCCCGAAGCCCTGTTCTTGTCCCTCTTTTGTTTCTCTGGAGAAAAGGGTTTATTTTATTTTATTTTTATTTTTTTGAGATGAAGAAAATTATTTTTTTCCATTACTGCTTTTCAGAGTAAATTTGTCTGTCTGTCTGTTTGTCTGGATAGACAGACAAACATACATACAGACATACAGATAGATAGATAGATAGATAGATAGATAGATAGATAGATAGATAGATAGATAGATAGATTTCTCTTCTTTTTCTTCCATCCTTTGTAATTTTTCCTTTGGTTCATCTATGATTTCCTTTGCATTTCCTGTGAATAATTTTTTCAGTCGCCCAAAATTAGAAGAGAGAGAGAACAGATTTCCAAAGTTTGCACCAGATAGTTGTTTCACGCTGAGCATTGATGGTAAAGGAGGTAATCTCTCTGTCCCTAAGGTAAGGTGTCTCTTTTGCAAAGTAAAACAGGCTCCACGAAAGCTCATATTCAAATATAGCAGTTAGTCTTCAAGGTACCACAACACTTTTGACTTCTTTGTGGTTTTTTTTCATCTTTTTGTTTTGCCTGACATATATATTTAAAATGTTATGTAAAAAATCTCTCACCATGAAATGAATGGGCAGAAGGACACAGACAAATAATATTTTAAAATGCTGGGCTGGCTTATAAATAACAAAACCAAGAGTTGGGTGATACTTTTCATTAGGTGCAATGAAAATCCCTGAAAAGAGTGCAGGCTTCAGAGTGCCACAGAACACTGCATCACCCTGACAAGAGTTCTGGAAAACCTTGAAGCTTGCACACTTCTCCGGTATTTTGCTTGCTCCTAATATAGTCCCAACTGTGAATAAACAGAGCCATGCCAGATAAAGCCAGAAGCCTGGCAGACGGGTAAACTGAGGCAGGATTCACAGACTGAGTTCATCACAGCAGATGGAGCCGGGTTCAAGACAGGATGGATCTCACGGCCATGTTTTCATACTCCAGAAACAAGAAGCAGCCCAGCTTATCAGAAAGTCCCCCCCCCAACACACACCTGTCGTGTTCGAGGAACGCATCTGCCCTCTTCCACTTTATAACGCCCCATAAAATCTTCCCTGCCTTTCCTGTTGCTAAGCTCAAGTTGATTCCAGGAGATGTTTCCTTATCAGTGAATCTCTCTTAAATCAAAAATGAAATATTTTTATTACGAACGGGAGCTGTAAATCCATGGCGTGCCACATTCCGTATCTATATATAGTTTTATGACCTTTCCTTTTTTGAACACATGCATATCCTGTTTCCTCCAAGCAGCTCGAGATGGTTCGTGTGAGCCCCCCCCTCCCCCCGGCTTCTATCATTACGACAACCCTGTGAGGCCGGTTAGGCTGAAGAGGGAAGAAGCCAAGGGGCTGGCGCCGGATCAGGCCCAAGGCCTTCTTTGTCCAGCAGTCTGTTTGCAAAGCAGGGAAGCCACCATGACTGGAACACCACCTTGCCATTTTTGTGGGTTCCCACCATCCGGGGGACCCGGGTCAGACCCAGTGACCTCTGGGTGCCCCTTCTGCAAGCCTATGATTCTAGGATGCAGTTCCTTATGATTTGCTACCTCCAAACCCTGCCCCCCCTTGCAGGCCCCTGCTGTATGAAAAGAAAACCTAGCCCCAACTCTTGCCTGAATCAAATACATTTTTCTTCCCCCCCCAAAAAAAAACCCCTGGTAGCCCCACAAAAGGGGACACTCTGCTCCACCCGAAGGGGTTTGTGGGGAGCCTCCTCTTTCTGGGTCGCCGCCACCCCCAAGGGAGAGAGAGAGAGCGAGGAATCGGGAAGAAAGGGATGCAGCGTTGCTATGGCGACTCTACTTCGAGTAACCAAGGGGAACCGGGGAAAATGTTTCGTAGGAAGCCTGCCACTCAGGGCCTGCGCCGAAAGGATTGTGTGGGCTCCTGGGCTGGTTTCGCCTTTTGCATTTGGGAAAATGTTTCGTAGGAAGCCTGCCACTGAGGGCCTGTGCCGAAAGGATTGTGCGGGCTCCTGGGCTGGTTTCGCCTTCTGCATTTCTCAGCCGCCTGGGGTCAGAGGATCCGAAAGGGCAGCCTTTGCTCCCTCGACCCACCCACCCACCCACCTATTTGGCCGGCACGGCCTTTGCGCCATAATCC